TTCTGCTCCTGAATCAGCTGGGTGGGTCTTGCCTCTAGCCTCTTTGCAGGGAGTTCTGCTGAAGGGTTCCCTGCTGGGCCTACAGCCTGGGTCGAATGAGGATCCCGCAGCCCTGGGTTGTCTCACTCACTCCCCAGGCCTGCGCTCTGGGTCTGTTCAGGATCCCGCAGCCCCCGGTGGTCTCACTCATGCCAGGCCTGCGCTCTGGGTCTGTCAGGATCCCGAGGCCTGGGTCGTCTCACTCCCCAATTTGGTTTTAAACTGTCTCATCGCTATTTGTTTATTAATAAAATTATGGGAAAAAATGTGCATTTCAACATGGTAAAATTGAAGAAATAGAAAAAAATACAATAACTATCAATAGAAGAACAGCTTAATAAAATCTACATTAATTATATAATGAAACACTATAGGCACTAAAAACTATCAGTCCATAAATCTCAAAATTCCATCTACTTTTAAAGAAATGATTACACAAAGTGTCTCAGGCATTATGTATTCTCTATAACCTCCATTGTGCAAGAATCCTAGAATCATCAGGAAAGGTAGAAAAAAAATAAATGTGACTCTAGAGAGATTGAGAAGATCCATGGATGCCCTTTTTTTGACTAGTGATGTTCTCTTCAATACAGAAACAGATGCCTTACTGAAGTATACTATCCCATGGGCTAAATTCCAACAGACTCTTCAACAGCTAAGGGAAGGTTGGCCTAAAGAAAAGGAAAATCTTATATTCCTCCTGGAAACTTAATACTCGTAAAATACCTTCCCTCATCATTTCCTTCCCCATGACTACCTTGGGAGAGGCCATACACTGTGATCCTGTCAACTCCATCAGCAGTCAAGGTGGCAGGCATAGACTCCTGGATACAGCATACCCAACTCAAGTCCTGGGAACCAGAGACTCTCACTGAGTGTGATCAACTATCATTAGAATTCTCTTGTGAAACCACAGATTTAAAATTCTTGTTCAAGAAAAAATAATGCCTTGAAATAAGTAAGCTGTTACTCTTATCCCTTTTATTAATCACATTACCACTTAAGGGAGAATGCAATTCCTCTCTAAGGTGGGCTCAAGAATATACAATCATTACAACAAACATCTTTCTGGATTTGTGGGCTGTTCTTGTGGTTGAGTACATCAGGACTTCGTTGGTGCATATCCCTACTCCAAAGAGATGATTAAAATAAACAACAAGACTATATTGAGTTCCATCCCTGATGTGACATGCCAGCCCTTGGGTGTGGTTGTGCATGCCTATAATCCCAGTGCTTGGAGGCTGAAAACAGGAGGATCACTTTGAGTCCAATCTGTATAGTGAGATCCTGTAGACCCTGTACCAAACACATAAAAAAGAGACTATATTGATGAGCTATGAAAGAGTTCAATGGTTCATAGTTTAGCCTACCAATACAAGGTAGCTGAATGGCCTATAAACTGTACACTTAATGGTCCTGGACATAATAGAATTTTTTAATAATGGCACTGAAGCTTCTCTAAAGGCTCTAATATGACTCTTACTAAGTAAAAATAAGGATCCTGTCCTAAGGACCAACAACCATGGATATTATGATGATTACTTTCACATATGTGATGATTATCTATGGTTGATTCCCACCATTGGACATCATAGTAGAAAGGTCCCCTTATGTTGGGAACAGAAAAATCGCTCCTATTCTCGTTGTCCTAACTCTACTAAATACTTTGGATGGATAACCCCAGAACAATGTATACATGCAATAACTTTACAGGCTGAAGACTGCTTTGAAGCAAACTTGCTCAATCACACTGGGATTAGATGGAAATCCCCCATTGGTACTATTGGTCCTATGGAGCCAATTTGTGGCCCTGGCTACTTACTCCCTAGGCAGATACAAAGATGTATCCTAGGATTTGCACGGTTCCAAGGCAGAAATGTCAAAAGTATTGACAAACCTATAAACTTGCCCCACCTATGGCATTGAAGGTCTAGAAGTGTTTTTCACTGGCATCATTGTAGGCAGCTAAATTAGATAGGAATATTATAGGCAGTCAGACAGGGCCAGGCCCTCAAGCAAACAAGATGGAAAACAAGGTGACTTTACAACTTGGAAGAGACAGACACTCCCTTATGGGCCATACTTTAAGACCAAGACAAAAGAGGAAACATGGCTACATACTTCCCTAGGGATGAGCAACAGGGATTTATGCTCTAAATAGGTACGAACCACCACAAAAGAGCCCAAATGAGTCACTAGCCCAACTCCCAACAGGAAGAGACCCTGTCCCATATTCATGCCTGCTTTCTACATGACTTGCTGCCCCATTTGCTACTGGATTTAATCAATTTTACCTGAGCAATGGTGCTTGTAATCTCATTGGTTGACCACAGTTTTGTTCCACCTCATGCCCACCTAAGTGAGTTCCCATGTTCTCCACCACCTTATACTTGCCTCACTACTTGGTTTTCCTCTATAAAAGTCCCTGGAAGAGACAGCTTCCCAGGACAACCCACTCGGGGCCCCTTCCTGTCCCTCTCTCAGACAGGAGTTTTCTTTCCCTCAATAAATATATTCTGCTCGTAACCTCCATTTGTTCCTAAAATTCATTCTTTGGTTTTAGAGAACAAAAACTCATTCCAGGTACCTTTGAGGTTGGGAGATCAGTTTTTCTCCCTGTGTCATTTGGAGGTTTCCTTCTATCAGTGTGATCATTTGACTTCTATCTTTATCCCATCCCTAGGGTTTGAGGGTGTCATATAACACACCAAGGCCTTAACTAACTACACTCAGCAGGCCTTAAATGACACTGTGGCAGATGTCTTCCTCCTGAATGAAGTAGTATAATTAATGAGGCAAGCTCTCCAAACTCAGATGGCTTTAGACATTCTAACATCAGCCCAAGGGGCTACTTGTGCAATTATAAAAGCTGAATGTTGTATGTACATTTCTGACCCTTTTGTTAATATCTCAATAGATGTTCAAGATATTAGATGACAGGTTAGTAAACATGTCAGATGCTGAAGTTCCCTGGATCTTCTCCTTATCCTCTTTATGAAATCTATTACTGGCTCTTCCTGGTGGAAAACCTTGTTAGCTATATTCATAATTATCCTGTTGATTTTATTATTTGGGCCCTAAATACTTAACTATTTCTAAGGTCTTGTCTCCTCCAGGCTTACAGCTGTATGTCTACCTAAGACAAGAACACCTGGCATCTACTGAGGGCCTTTAGACAGTCCCTCTGTGGAGTATCTCTGACTGCTGATCACAACTACAACCCTCTTCAACTGGAAGCAGCCAGATTGGTCCTTGACCCTTGCTCCCTCATGATGATTGGGTACTTTTTCAGAGGGAGCTGTACTATAAATATCTAAGTTATTTAGGAATATTACAGGCAGTTAGAAAGGGCTGGACACTTGAGAGTTCAATGCAGAAGTCAGCTATGACTAGAGGCACAATCACTGAAGGTCACACTTCAAGAAAAAGAGGAACTGCTCAACTATATACTTCCCCTTGGGGTGGAGAAACAAACCTCCTTAAGCCATCCCTTTCATGAAAGGCCTTGTCTGCCCATGTGTGCTTGCTATTTGTTTCCCCATTTCATCCCCATTTAATCAATTTTACTCTAGCAGGATACTTGTTGCATACTTATAGGTTGATCACAGTTTTGTTCCACCTCACACCCATCCTGTGATTTCCCATTGGATCAATTTTTTAAATAATTTTTTAACCTTTTATTTATTTATTGGTGCAGGGTCTCACTACACACAGGGCAGACTCATAGTGATCCTCCTGTCTCAGCCTCCCTAGCATTGGGATTACAGGCATGAGCCACCATGTCCAATTTCAGTGGCTGGCACGGTGTGCACAGAGTTCCAAGGTTGGCATGGTATGTGGTACCAGGGATTAAATTCAGGCCCTTGCACTTGCCAGGCAGACACTTAGACCAAGGAGCTAGCTCCCCTACCCACCCTCATTGCATCAATATTGCCTAATTGACTATACTTGTACTCTTGTTGGTTAATTTAAGTTCTGTCTCACCTTAAGCTTATCTCACTTTGTGACCTTTCTCAATAAAACATCCTTGAGAAGTGGGGTTGGTGAGCAACTCACTTTCCAGGGTGCCTTCTGTCCCTCTCAGGTAGGAGCATTCTTTCTCTCAATAAATTTGTCCCACTCTTTAATAGAAAGAAAAAAAAACCCTAGGCAATGTGAACAAATAAACATATGTACTATATTAACTCATTTATGTAATTTTTAAAAAAATATTATACCTAAGATGTTATATATTCCTTATGGAAAAGTACAGTTTTAGATCAAAAACTGCTAAAATCATGCACAACACATTGATACCAGTCATTAAAGGTCCAGGAGCAGGATGAATGGACTTGCAGTTAGTGGCTAAATGTAATTTTTCCTTTTATTTCAATGATGTATTTCTTGTGGGAAAAGGCATAAAGAAAATCCAGAAAACAAATATGACACAATATTACACAGTGCTCCACACTCAATTATACACATTCATCTCTAAAAACACATCCACACCAGTTAGATTGTACTGGCACCAAATACAGTCCAAACTGATAGAACAGTTTTTTAACAGTATGAAACTACATACAAGATTATCATCTCAACTTACTACTTGTCTGGCCCTTTGGGAAATGGGATGCCAATTTGACACACTAACTGCCTGTCTCAGAACTGGCAAGGGCCCATGTAGAGGGCAACAGCCTACCACATGAAAAGAGGCATCCGAGTGTGTCCCGTCAGCCTGGGATCTCTGAGAATGGGCCCAAGTTCAGTTATAAGTTCAGTTACAGAGCAACAGCCTGCTTAAAGAGACAGCAACAAGAAACACTTACCAGCAGCTGGAGAGACCACTCTGGGTCAGAAAACTGATCCTTCAAGGTTAATATCTTGACTGTTACCGCACAGCACACGTAACCCTAAAAACTCAACTGTGGTCCCTGAGCTTCGCTGGGAAGAAAAGTAAACTTCGCAGCTTGACTCTGAAGATTCCGACAGTTGGTGGTGTTAGGTGGTGGGGGTGGGGTGTCCCTCACTTCTCTGCCAGCACCCTTTGAGCCACGCAGCCAGGCTTCTGTACTTACAATTCACTGCTTTCTACTCCATCCTCCAGCTCAGCATGAAGGAATCAAAGAAAACTGGACACTTAGGAACTGAACCATCTTTCTTCCAGGTGGTGCAGCTTGGTCACATTTTCTTAAATTTTTCTCAGCTCCAATTTTCATCAGTGGCTTTTTGTGTGTGTGTGTGTGTGTGTGTGTGTGTGTGTGGTACTGGGGATTGAACTCAGGGCCCTGCACTTGCCATGCCAGCACTTACTCTACTGAGCTATTGCCCCAGCCCCCTCTGAGCCTCAATTTTATCATCCATACAGGAGGCATGCCATTTAATGCTATAGAATGTTACAAAGATGAAATGATATGTATACAGTCCTTAGTCTAGTTTCTAATATACACTATATATTTACTAAATAATATTATTTTAATTAGCCAATAATGTAAAGCAGTGTGAATGCTTTTTCTTTTTTCCATAATTTTATTGATAAACAAATAGCAATGAGACAGTTTCAAATCAAATTGGTAGGACAGTTTCAATAATTAACACATTGCATACAATGGTTAATTGTATAAATTTTTTTTCCCAGTGGTTAATTGCTATACAAGATGCGGACTTGAGATCCTATCTACAAACACCATTAGAACAAATCATTCTATTCATTAAGAGAATGTAACTATATGTCTAACCTAACCATGAATGCTTTTTCCTAAGAAGTATTTACCCTGATCTTTTTTTTGGGGGGGGGAATACTAGAATCAAACCCACCCTCATGCTTGTTAGGCAGATGCTGTGCCACTGAGCTATACTCCTGCCTATAAATATTATTGTTATTATATTTCATGCCATTTCATCTCTTCAAAACAGCTAAGTAAGTTGCCAAGTGTAGAAAAGCCAGACTTGGAGTCCCTGGACTCTTGATTTAATCTTGACTTCGGGAATCTGTGCATGATCACAATTGATAAGCTCAGTATACATCAATACAATTATAATGCTAAACACATATGGCCGTACAGTTTGGGTCATTTGTCTTTTCTTTTGGTCTGGCCCTTTCTTCACAACCACACACATATTTTAAAGCCTTATCAGCCCTCTCAGCACATGATGAACCAAAATGTGCGATTAATTTTATTTTATTTTATTTATTTATTTATTTTTATTTATATATATATTTTTATTTTTAGGGAAGGATCTACAGGGTGTTCAGGGTCTCACTACTAGATCGGACTTGTAGGGATCCATCTATTTACAGCCTCCCAAGAGCTGGGATAACAGGCGTGAGCCACCATGCCCAGTCTCAATTGTAGTCTCAGTGTGCCCTGGGGGTGGGGCTTGCTGAGCCCAGCAGCCTCAGGGATCAAACTCCCTGGCCCCTGCACCTGCTTGCAGGCACTTTAATTTGCTGAGCTATTTGGCCAGCCCTTATGCAATTAATTTTAACACTAGCATTCTAAGCCCTGTCTTGACCCTGAAATGCTGGTATTGGCCTCCTAGTCATCTCTGACAATCCAGAAAAAAAGAAACACCAGGATGGATAGGCTGTCTTTTCTATACCATCAACCACACAGAATCAGAAGTTCCACAGACAGAGCCATGGATATAGCTCAGTGATATGGTACCCACCTGGCAAGCACAAGGTACCAAAAAAAAAAAAAAAAAAAAAAAGTCCAAAAAAAAAAAAACAGGACAAAACAATATCAAAGAGTTCTTTGTTGTGTGGATTCAAAATCTGTTAGTTCTCTGAAGTATGTATTTATATTATGTTTCCTATGGAAATTATAATAAATTACCATGAACTTGGTGGCTTAAAACAACAAAGATGTATTCTCTCAGAGTTCTGGCATCCAAAAGTCAGAAGACTAAAATCTAGATGCCCCCTGGAGACACTAAGAAACAATCTGTTCCCTGGCCCTTCCTAGCACTTCTTGCCTTGTGTGCATGTTACTCCAGTCTTTGCCTCTGCCTCCACATGTCCCCTTCACATTTTCTGGTTCAAATCTCTCTCTCATTTTAAAAGGACACATGATTATATTTATGCCCACTCATACAATCCAAAATAATCTCCCCATCTCAATATCCCTAAACACATTTACAAAGGCTCTTCTTCCACATAAGGTAACACTCATGGAAGCCAGGTATAAACCATGGATGTGTTTTGAGGGGATCACTTCTCAGCTCACTACTGAGCACAGTAGCTATGTGCTCCATCAGTCTTGTTTCTAATATGTGAAAAAGCTCACATGTTCACAAATGCATAAGAAATGCCTAAAGACTCCCCTGGGACCCTGATGCTTCTTCATGCAGCAACGGCAGCTGTCCAGTGAGATGCCCATCGTCCAACTACATGATGTTCCCCCTCAGGAGTCGTCCTCTCATAAAACACCATTGATTAATTTCATTTCCCCTACCATGACTCCTAATCAAAGTCACTGGGAAGGTATTTAACATCTTTTAAATGTGTAGAAGAATAGAGAAAGTGTTGGGAGCATGACTCCATGGTAAATCTCTTGCCTACCATCTATGAAGTCCTTGCTTGAGTCCCCAGTAAAATAAAAAATGAAAATAAATTTTTCAAAAATTAAAAAACAAAAAAATCCCATAACAGACTTTTCTGAGAAAATGAATCCTCTAAGAGCTTCTCATACAGCTACTTCATGGAGTTAATATCTGGCCCTTCAGTTTAACCAGTTGCTATAGCTATGATTTCCTTCATATGACCTGTGGTCCTGTCCATCATATATGATTTTGTAGACACTGTAAGTTTTGTAGCTCTGTGTACATTTTAATGGCTGGCATCATTTATATTTAAGTATTCAGTCAACTTGATTCTGCCACTTCTAGTCCAAAGACATGAGCATGAATTTCAACATGCCACAGAATTAACATATATAAGAATGGTAAATTTTAGATTCTATCCAAGGAATAGTGTTTCCCAATTTAACAAAAAGACCAAAGAATACAAAAAGAATTAAGACACCTAGAATGTGCTGCTAGGTTACTGTTTTAGTATCCAGGAGCACCAAGCCTAGGGACAAAACACCTCATTTCAGGAGCTGGGGAGATAGCACTTCCATCTAAGCACCTGCCTGGCAAGTGCAAGGACCTGGTTTCAATTCCCAGAACCCTTAGGCGCACCATGCCAGCTACCAAAGCCAGGTGTAGTAGTGCACACCTATAATCCCAGAGCCGGGGAGGCTGAGACAGGAGGATCGCTATGAGTCCAAGCTGTGTAGTGAGACCCTGTACCAAAGAAATAAAATAAAATGATTAGAAAACAAAAAGCACCTCATTTCAGATCTCAACCAGCATTGCCATTCACTAGACTATGATCTTATTCATAGAAGGTAGAACCCCTTGTGACTTAGTTCACTCCCAATGACTCACCTCCTAACACCATAACATTGGGGGGTTAGGGTATGAGCGTAGACATCTGAAGAAGAACACATTTACTTCATGGTACTCACCATTTTTCTTTGTCTCTCATGTGTACTCACTTAAAATCTACTCTCAGTAAACTTCAGCTAGATAATATTGTTCACTGTAATCACTATGCTGCTGTGCATTAGATTTCCAGGACTCAATCCTTTGTGTAACTGAAACTTGGTGTCCCTTGACCAATAGCTCTTTACTCCTCTCAGCCACCAGTAACCACTACTCTTCATTAGTTATATGAATTTGACAACTTTAGATTCCACATGTAAATAAGATCATGTACAGTATTTGTTTTCCTGTTTCTGGCTTATTTCACTTACCACACTGTCCTCTAGTTTTATCCTTATCATCATAGATAACAGAATTTCCTTCTCATTAAATACTAAATAATATAGTATGGCACATGTTGTTAAATAGAAATACCATGTACTAATATTCATCCCACAAGGGGAACACTATATCAGTTATATAACCCAACAGAGATTTGTAAACTCCTCACCAGTACCTCCAAGACTTTCATTTTTAATTAATTTTATTGAGAAAGAAATAGCAATGAGACATTTTCAAAATAGGTTAGTAGGACAGTTACGATAATTAATACATTGCATATTGTTGTCTTTGTAGTAGTTATTCATAGTACAAGATGCAGAC